TTGCTCTCTCATGATATATTTTACTTAAGTTGTCGTTACTTTGCATAAAAATTTACTCGTATGAATCTTACTCGTATTCGTATTTTTTTTAACTCGTATGTATTCGTATGTACCCGTATGTTACCCGTATGTTACTCGTATGTTAGTGGTATGTTGGTGGTATGTATTCGTGTGTATCTGTATGTTCCGTATGTTACTCGTATGTTACTCGTATGTTACCCGTATGTACTCGCGTGGTGTTTTAGTCATGATCCACACGCGACCCAACTCAAACTCTTCTACAGGAAACGAGAGCTCCTCTAAAGTTTGCAGGTCTTACATGGTTTGGTTTGAGGTGCCAATACCAAGTCCTGACCAGTTAGAGATGTTTCAATGCCACCTTTTTGTGATGGACTTCTCTTCTTCTTTTACCCGACAAGTATCCCTCTGAGACCGGACAGTGAGGAAATCACGAGGCATACTGATGTGCTAATTTTTCAAATATGGCTTGCACGAAAGGCGTTTTTTTTTTATCATAGGACAAGGGTCTTGTGCATGGAACGAGCAAAATTGATATATCAAATTCTGAAACATTTTGAAGTAAATACCGATAGAATTCCCGTCAATCCTAGCGAGCTGAACCACTGTAAGGATTGCGAGTGTACGCTGACGAAATGATCTTAAGTGTGACACAGAATCTCAGAGAAAATTTAATTGGTAATTTAATCATTTTAATTAAATTTTCTATCTTTTACTTACAATTCGTATACTATTATACTTCTCCATATCATTACTTTCCATTGCTTACGAGACATTCGGCAAACTCAACTGTGGTCAATTGTCGTTGTCTAAAGCCATTTACACAAACATATGGCTCACAAGTTGTAATGGTTTTCAGTTATTGCCAGTTGCGCCAGATTGTAGACTGGTATCACCCGAAAGTGCCAAGTCGTCTGGCAAAGGCATGGAAATCCGACTTACAAACCAAACTTAATGCTATTTTAATTAGCATGACTGGTCGAAACGCTAATATTCTCATTAACCCAAATGGTCTTGTCCTAATAACACAGCACTATCGTCTCTGTAATTTGCGGTAAATAAAGACTGTCACTAATCAAAATTAAGTCTAGCAATTAGGTCTCTCCTAACAGCTGTTAAAACCAAATGAAATAGCAACACGTTTTCTTAAAACCCAGTTGGGCGGGGCGAGTGGTTCTGGGGACTGGACGAAGGTGCTCAATAGGTTTTGCATACTGTCTAGACTTCATATGAGCAACAGGAAAAAAACATTTCTTGTTTGATTATGTCATGATTGTCTAAGAATAGAAAATTGGTATTATGCAATTTTTCAAAAGATGAGCCTATGGCCTGTAATTTTGTCTTGTTGTTACTACGCTTTCCAGGAAGATATTGATAGGTTATCACACAGTCGGTTTCGAGAATTTCTTAATGAACCTTCAGACGAACTCATTTCGCAGCAGCTGTCCTTTTCATCATCCACGAGTGAAAATTGTGTAATTTACCCCGCACAATTGTCTTACCCACAAAATTGCCTTTCTATGGAATAAAGATAGATAAAGGTTTGAATTATCCCGACTTAAATGTTTACAATGTCATCCCATCTTTTAGACTTATAGATTTGTTTGAAATCAGGTCGCTCATTATTATTCACCGCCCCACGAGGTTTTCTATAAAGATTAGAAAAGAAAACAAGTGCCAAGATTACAAAACTGATCGCTGCCTACAATTTTATTATTTTAGAATTCCTCTATAAGTACGGCTCCTGTTCTTTTTTATAATAAAAACCATCTGAAAAAGGGTAATTGCAGTTTTGTAATCCTTCCTTGAAAATTCATTTTTCATTTCGGATCCTGTCGTGTTCTCGGCGGATGACGCTATCCTCCCGTAAATCACTACCTGGTGTTACCACGTCATCTCGCTCTGTGATTGGTCAAGAATAGTCGCACCACCTTTAATAAAATCACATGCAAAACTTCGACGTCTTTCCTGTTTTCCTGGTCAAATGTATTCACTAACTCTGGGTTCTGATTGGCTCTTTGTGATATGTCCTTTCTTCGATAGGTCTGATTGCTTAAGTTGGCTTAATAAGAAAACGCGTGCTATTGTTACTGTGACAGATCACAAAATAGAAATTACCATTTCTAAAGAAATTGAACCAAAGTGCTAATGGAGTCGACGACGTGGCGTTTTAAACATTTCCTAAAAAAGGAAACACACATGAGATGGGAAATCGGTGTTTGCGATGTTTTGACCCGGCCGTGCATGCAAAGAAAAAAAAAAATGCCAAATTCCAGACTTATTTATTTAATCACTTGGTAACAAACACGCAGTTCAAATTAATTTGAATTCCTTCGGGAAACACGATGTCATTCGTCTTTGTTTAATGTTTGTTTCATATGAAAAAAAGCTTGATACGCTTGTTTGGTAAATATGGTCTTTTCATCAAAGAACAAAAAGAAAAAAAGTCATTCACAGGTGTGTCGGTGAAAAGACGACATTTTGAGGCGGTGGCTGTTTTTCAAGATGTCGTTGAAAGGACAAGTCAAAGTTATAGATAACTGTGGCACATTTCCAAGCTGTCCAGTTCGGAAGTCGGTTTTTCTACAGGAAACAATTATGAATTTTTATGTCTTGTTGCATTGTTTGAACAATCAAGTTCTTAAAAGAAAGCATGCAAGATTATATCTGTCCTTTTCGCCAGGAAATTAATTAAGGCCGCCAAAATTGTAGCGGGGGTTTAGAAGGGAAGGGGTAGTAATTTTTTTTTTGTCTGCTTTCTTTTGACCCGACCAATTCAGAAAAATTGATTTTACATTTTTTACCATAGTTGGTAGGTATGATTTTACAAACTGAAAAAGTATACTCAGTCAAAACTTATAACCGGTGAGGTGACCATGATATTCTTACAAAAAATATCGGGAAGTCTCAATTGCAATGGTTTTTTACGAACAGAAAAGTGAGTTGAATAAACATTCATAGTAGGTTCACTGTCCTACAGAAAGATAAACTGATCAGAAAAGTTTTGATCAACAATTTTTGCATATTTCAAACCTTTATAAAGCCGGCGTCATTTCCTTCCAGGGTAATAAAATGAACATTTTACTCCCCAATTTTTTCTGAGTGATTTTTTTAGAACATGTAGAATAGAGGAGGTATCTTTAAAAATTGCTCGTAAAAAAATGTCATCAAATTTTTCCTATTTTAGAAAGCTAGGTCTGGAACTAGTGACAGCGGTCGAAACTGCAGGCGCAAGTTAAAGTTACAAAATGGCGGTTAAACTTGAAAACGAAACAAGGTGATTAGAAAGGCAAATATGTCGTTCTTTCCGCGATCTAGAAAGGCGAAATCCTCACTGTCTCCCACTGAAAAGTCTAAAAATCGTAGTGATGTTTGTCAGCAAACCTCGGTGGGTAGACTGAATGTTGAATAGTGTGAGTTTTGGGATTACTTCCGTTTGACATATTTTAGTAGACTGGTGTTACCGATTTATATTTTCTGACCGCATTTGCAATCAAATTCGTTCTTTATTTCTGTTTTTTAAATTTGTAACTAGGATGTTTCTTTTCAATTCATGCGATACAAGAACAACATCATTTCTGTTGACTCTTATAGTCTTGCTTCATGTTTTGCTTCATGCTTCATCTTTGCTTCCCAAATAGAATGGTAAAGTTGGCCGTGATATATTACGGTGAAGCTGTCCTACATGAACTCAAAGCCGCTTGTGATATGGTTGATGCTGTGAGATTTTCCAATCTTAGTGTGTCCAATTCAAGGATTTTTTGTCAAGGTCTAGTTTTAAAGCTGCAAAATAAACGTTGTCAAGATCTAGTTGTGACTCTGCTTAATTTTGAGAATTAGGTATTGGATCAACTAATAATCCTCTTCCTCTAATCTGTACATTTCTCTATTCTCATTACTTGTCTTCTTGGTGTTGTAAGGAGAAATTCTCTCTTGGTCACTCTTGGGAGTTAGAGGATTTAAAGCATATAAATTTTGAAAACTTTCTTAACAAACATTGCCTCAGACTCCCACAAAAGCTTTCAGCTTTGGGCTCCTTCTTGGTGTAGAAGACACAGAACAGGTCACCTCCATCTTTTGTCTTTTTTTTTTTCTTCTGTTGTTTTAGGTAAAATGTGTCTCCTGCATCAGGTAAGAGGCCAGTCCTGGCCCATCTTTAAGTCCTTCTTCCCCCTCTTTCACCCAAATGACTGATTTATTCATAAAAGTATTTCTGTGAATTTTCATCCTAGGGTGAAAGAAATGATAGTGGGCGTGATGTGAGTGGGTCGCTGTTTAGTGGCATGAACTTAACATCAGCTCCTGCCAAAGGGACAACCTCCTCTGATGAAGTTAATCTAATAGGTCATGTTGATGTAGCAAAGGAAGATAAATTACCTAAAACAGTCATTGAAAATCCTCAAGATTTTGGTGTAGTTTTTGGTAAGACAGAAAGAAATGTTTGCAATGAGTTTTTTTCTAAGATGCAGGCAACATCCATAAGTAGGGTGGTCTACTCCTGGTACACTTTGGAATCAAACCATTATCTGAAGAGTCCTCCGTTTTTCACCCTTAAACTCTTAGAAGTGATTAACATGTAACTTCTCCCTATAATATCTATACATTATATAGCAAACAGGTAATGAGAATACTCACTCATCAGGAAGAAGTTTTTATCTTGATCTAACCCAAAATTCTTGCAACCAATTTACAAGGAAATGTATTGCAGCCAGAGGGGAGAATCGAGTGCCTGGTTATTTTTGACCCACTCATAGAGATGGGCACCTCAGGAGATAAAGTCCTCTATGTGATAATTAACAATTATTCCATGAGTGCGCGTTGGATATGAGATGATAGATAACCAACGAGGCGCGTAGCGCCGAGTTGGCTATAATCATCTCATATCCAACAAGTGCGAGTGGAATAATTGTTTTATTAAAAACGCTCCC